TCAAGGCCAGAGGCCTGGTTTACACCTTTCTACAAACTACTACACTGGATATGTTTGTGAAAAACTAGTAACAGGGTGTCCAGCACCTCCAGTGCCKATTTCTTCTAGRCTAGCGGCCAAGTAAAATAGGGCGACATGAAAATAGGAAGTTTATCTACATTGAACTCTTCTGTGGAGACTCTTTTGCTGACAGTCCCCAAATCAGCCATGGTGAAGATTCTGGAGAAGGTCAGGTAAGACTTTTTGTGGAGGAGAGGGTGCCACTGCACTAGAGGTAGGGGCTACCCCAGCACTAATTTTCCAGGCTGGGCACCTGAATGCTGGGGGAGGTCAAGGCCATGTGGCCAGGGCTGGTCATCCTCCTCCTCTGCCTCCCACTAACTGGGCTCAGCGCCCAGACCCTTCTCAGCCTCATTCCCAGGCCTCTGGGTTGCCAGAGTGCACCGAGGAGCATTTCCTGGGATCTAAGCTCCCCACTCAAGGAGGTCCGGCAACCTTGCCTGACCCGGAAGTAGTCGCTGAGCTTGCCGCTGCGTCTTCGGTTGYCAAGGCGCCGCCCCGGAAGTGAAGCGCCAGGTGGCCCAAATTCCTAGCGGCGGCGGGAGGCGTCCTCCTGCGGGCGCCGCAGCGGTCGAGGCGGGGCCAAGGYCGCCGTTCGGCGCGCTCCCAGTTGCCAACATCCAGGGCTGGCCCGAGCCTAGGCCGACGCCTCTGGGCGCCGCTGTGCGGCCGGGCGCTTCTGCGCGTGCGCGGGCCTCCCCTCGCCTCTGCGGCCGCGGCCGTSCGGTTGGGTGCGGCTCGTCCGACCCGCGTTCTGCAGGACCGTCGCGCCCGCCGCCGCGCCGCAGGCCTCCCGAGTTCCTGCGACCTGCCTGTGCCTTCCGATTGCTGTAATTGCATCTTATTCTTGTCCCCCAGGCTGTCGTGGCCCCTGGCCGTCGCCGTCGGTCTGCAGCCGGCACCCTTCTTGCTGGCATCGTTTGCAGGGAGCATTKGCAGCACTTGTGTGGAGGGGACGGGAGCCTGTCGTCCCCCTCCTGCCCGTTTTTCTGTGGGTGGGGGGACCGGACCATGACGTTTCCCGCCCCGTTCCCAGGGCGGGGCGTGTGGGAGTCACCTGGCTTCCAGTCCTAAGCCTTTTTGGACTTAGGGAGCAGGTTCTTTGTTTGGGAAACATTAATGGGCAGGTTACAGTGCTGGCTGGTGGCAGTTAGGAAAGCTAGGTCCTGCTGTCCCCTTGCTGTGCAGCATGACCCCATCACCCAGTGGGGGCGTGGAGGGGCACGGTGACACAAAGCTGTCGACACCCTGTCTGTGTGTGACCATCATTTACATCGTTATTAACTATTCAAGATGGCTCTTTTCTCCCCTTCAAAGAAAGCTTGTTGGACCATTTTCTAATGGCTGGACCCAGGAGGGTGAAATGATTCTCAGGACTGTAAGTTCCCCTGCTTGCTCTTCTTGCACGGTTGGCTTGGCTTTGGTTACTGCCKGCTGGCAAAGTGGCTGACCTCCTGGGGTTGTAGGCTTGCAGTGACAGCAGCTGTCCCCCAGGTCCCAAGGATTCCGCTCCACCCCATCCGTACAGTGCATGCTGTAGTAATACTGTGTCCATGACTGGTTGATTCTTTTTTTYCCCCTTTACACTGGAGATGGAACTCAGGGCCACTTTACCACTGAGCCACATCTTCAGTCCTTTTAATTTTTTTATTTTGAGACAGGGGCTCACTAAGTTGCTGTGGGTCTTGCCAAATTGCTTAGGCTGAACTCAAGCTGGCAATCCTCCTGCCTCGGCCTCCTGAGTTGCTAGGATCACATGTGTGTGTCACTGTGCCCAGCTTTATGGGTGATTCTTTTCTTTTTTTTTTTTTAAACACAATGCCTTTATTTTTATGTGGTGCTGAGAATCGAACCCGGGTCCTGCCCGTGCTAGGCAGGCGCTCGACCGCTGAGCCACACTCCCAGCCCTATGAGTGATTCTTTACTGGTCTCCCTCTCTTAAGAACTAGCAGCTGCTGTAGAGTTGGACTTCACCTAATTCACGGGTTTGCACAAACAGCACTTGTTTGATGGTGTGCAGAGGGAATTCATTTATTTTTGTTAATTCATCAAATGTTAGAGTACCTGCTGTTGCTAGACACTGTTCTGAGTGCTGGGGATTCAGTAGAAGGTAAGGCTCTCATGACGGTGATGTGTCTGTTGAAGAAGGATGATCACCAAATACCTGAAAAGTCGACTGATTAACTTCCAATTTGTGCATGTATAGAATCACCCAACAGCTCAAGRCAGCTTCTTGTCCTAAAGAGTCCATCAGCACATCATTGTGTGACGCTCACAGATCTGTCTTCCTTCATCTCTTCCTTCTGTCTGTGCTTTGGATGGAATTCATGGCCTGGCACATAATAGACAAGCACTGCACTGCAGAGCTACACACCCAACCCTAAGAACCTGTTTCTAAAAAGTGATGCCAGTCCTTGAGCCATGCCTTGAGTAGCTCTGGACTAAGCTAAGCTATGGAGAAAGTACAGTCCCACTTATCCATGGTTTTAATACGTGTGTTCAGTTGTGGTCTGATAATATTGTTCAGTTGTGGTCTGATAATATTAAAATAGAAAATTCCAGAATAAACAACTTATAAGTTCTAAATTATATGCTGTTTTGATTATTGTGATGAAATCTGTCACACTTTGTTCAATGTATCCATCCTGTATATGTTACCTGCTCGGTAGTTACTTGGTATCCATCTTGGTTATCAGGTTAACTTTTTATTTTTTTTTAATGGGGGGGGCTCTCACTATGTTGCCCAGGTTGGCATCTCACTCCTGGGCTCAAGCAATCCTCCTGCCTCAGCCTCCCAAGTATCTGGCTACAGGCGGGAGCCACTGCACCCAGTTGTCAGTGATTCTTGAGGTATTGCAATGCTTGTGTTCAARTCACCCTTATTTTACTTAATAATGGTCTCAAAGTACCAGAATGGTGATGCTGGCTGTTTAGATACGCCAAAGGAAAGYTATGGGTGCGTCCTGCAAGGGAAGAGGTGAAAGTTCATCCAGGTATATGTGTATAGGAAAAAACAGTATCGGGTTTGGTACTGTGTTTGGTTTCAGGTGTCCACTGGGTGTCTTGAAATGGTCCACTGTGACTACTGTCAAGTGACAATGTGGTAGTTTTGGATGGATACAGATTGGGTGGTCAGGGAAGGCCACCCGTGAGAGGTGCCCTTTGGGAAGGGGCAGCTCTAAGGGAGGAGCGAAGCCTTCAGACAGGATGCCATGTGGTGGGTGTAGGAGCGGAAGAGCAGCCAGGGGCTCCAGAGGGGCCACTGGGAGACGGGCCTGAGAAAGGACGGGCCGGGGTGGTGCTCAGCGGCCTTGTGGGTTGCAGTGGTGACCRCGGTCGCCCGGCCACGGTGGGGCTTTGTTGGCGACTTGCTAAAGCACTTTGCATCACGGGGCGTAAGCATGTTCTGTGTGTCTCATCTCCCTGGGTCTGGAATGTCCCAGTTGGCTTTTGTCTTGGTGACAGACCTGGYACCCGCTCAGCGCTTAGCAGGTGGATGAAAAGCTAGGGACTGCAGTAGCCCCAAGCCCAGGCCACCTCGGGAACCCTGTGCTACACCTTAGGAAGACCTACCTCCCCRTGGGCCCAGGAGGGCACCCTTATCGTCTTCCGGAAGTAACCAGTAGCTCTTTGGTTCCCAGGTGGCCCTGTGGTTGGCACGGCTCAGGTGGTGGCAGCCCCAGCCACATTCTTGAGCTGGGTCCGCCTGCAGGTCAGGGCGCCACTTCCTTTTCCTTGGTCAGGTTTTCATGGTGTTGGCTGGGAGGGGCTCCCGCAGGCTTCGGATTCAGATGCTGAATCTCTGGGAACCAGTGGACCCGGAGCSGGTCAAGTTCATGATGCAGTGCCTCTGCCCTCGTCCTTCTACCCAGCAATTGGAGGAGGTGATAGTGAAACAATCTAATAGCAGTTTTCTATTTACTCTTCTAAGGAAAAGGACTTCGTATTTCTCAGTGGGGAAGGAGCCAACCTCCTGCAGTGTGGTGACGGCCAGTGGCTTCATTTGTCTGTTCTGCAGGAAGTTTCTGAACCCTTCACTGTGCCTGGCCTTGTCTGGGTGCTGATGTGCAGAGATGCCCTACAGGGGTCTGACTGGGGAGGGGCATGTAACTAAAGTCACCATGGGTATGGGGGTGGGAGACAGAGTCGATGCAGCCCCTACTCCACTTTTTATTCTCTCTCTTTTTTTTTTTTTTTAAGAGAGAGAGAGAGAGAGAATTTTTTAATATTTCTTTTTTAGTTTTCGGCGGACCCGATATCTTTGTTTGTATGTGGTGCTGAGGATCGAACCCAGGCTGCATGCATGCCAGGCGATTGCACTACCGCTTGAGCCACATYCCCAGCCCCTACTTTTTACTCTCTTGCTGTAGTCTGTGCTGATGCTGTAACAAAATACCTGAGACCAGATAATTTATAAAAAATAGAAGTTTAGGGCTGGGGGTGTATCAGTGGTAGAGCACATGCTTAGCATGCACAGGGCCCGGGTTCCAGGCCCAGTACCCAGAAAACACATTTGTTTGGCTTAGGATTCTGGGTCAGGATCAGGACATCTGGCCAGGACTGTGTGTCGTGTCATAACGTGGCAGAGGGCTTCACCTGGCGAGACGGCAGACTTGCTGGCTCCAGTCTCTTCTTGTAAAGCCACTGATGCCATCTTGGGAACTGTACCCTGGCGACCTCACGTGTTCCTATTTACGTCCAAGACCCCTCCTCCAGATAGCATATGGATTGGGGGTCGGGTTCCAATGCAGGCTCCTGAGGGGACCTCCCAGCCACAGCGGTTCCAGTTCTCTCCTCTGCCCTTGGCCGCCAGGCCCCGATGGTCTGCCGGCAGCGTCTCTGGGCCACCTTGACCCTTGTGAGGAGGCTGGAGGGCTCCTGGGGCTCACTCAGTGAACAGGACCCGTCCCCTGGACGTCCCCTGGACGTCCCCTGGCTGGTGGGGTCTTGCTTTGTTCATAACTTGCTTGGCCGTCTCTGCTTCCGTGCGGCCGCGGCTGGACCTTTCACCCAGGGTCAACTCTGTTCTAGGTGAAGCCAGCGGCCAGAGTCCGTGAAGCCGAGAACCTGGGTGACCCAGTGGCTCCTGAGGGACCTATGGTAGGTGTGGCCTGACCTGTTCCCTACAGGGACCGTCCACCTGGTGGGGCAGGGGCAGGAGGGGCGGKGCCCTGGGGCTGAGGCAGCCCTGGCCTGGGGGCTCCGCCTCCTGTTGAGCAAAGTGAGTCTGGGAACTCCCCCTTGTGGGTTTGGGGACCGTGACCTGCCTGCTGTCATCTCCAGGTGCGAGGCTGTGACTGGAGGAAGGCGGTCCGTGGGACTTTGTTTTGGGTGTTTTTAGTATTTCTTAGTTGTCAGTGGACCTTTATTTTACTTATTTATATGTGGTGCTGAGAATGAGCCCCAGCCTCACAMGGGCCAGGGAAGTGCGAGGGGAAGTGAGCTGCAACTCCAGCCGAGACTTTGTTTTTGTACTGGAAATCTAACCTAGGGCCACTTTGCTCCTGAGCTGCGTTTCCAGTCTTGCTAAACTGCTGAGGCTGGCCTCCAACTTTCCATCCTCTTGTCCCAGCCTCCCAAGTTGCTGGGATCACACATGTGCACCCTGTACTTGACAGAGACTGGGTTTCAGTCCTGCCCTGTGACTGAGGCGGGGGTACTGACGGCCTGGGTGTGGTAGGGCTGGGGAGTGAGTCTCCCATAGTCAGAGGACAGAGGGGAGCAGGTAAGAGCCTGGGGTCTGTGTTTCAAGTACACTGGAGGCCACTGGTCATTTGCTCGGAGTGGAGTGGTCAGATACCCCAGAAGGTCACTGCGGTTGTCGAGGGTGACTGGAGGGGGCAGGGCCTTGAGGGGAGATCAGTGCTGGGTGGGCGCCCTCCACTCCCCTCAGGAGTCAGCTCGAGGTGCCCTCCTGAGGCCCGTCTCCCCCTCCTGGGCAGAGCTGCCCTCCTCCTGCCCGCCAGCCCCTCGCGCCTCTGCTTTTGGTTCTTGTTTGGTGATGGGGCCACCTTTACCGCCCACCAGGCCAGGCCCCCCCCCCTCCTGTGCTGGCCTCGGGGCTGGACAGCATCCCTGCTGCTCCCTAGATGGCAGAAGTGCCCTTCCCCTGCTGTGACACCAGAATGTCCCCAGACATGGCCTGGGGCGGGATTGCCCTTGGCTAGAGACCACTGGGGGCAGAGGGCAGAGGCGCTGGGGTGGGGCAGGAGCTGCCTTGGGTCTGGAGGAGCCCCTGCTCTGAGGGAGGTTGCTGGGAAGGTTCAGAGCCCYGASGACTTGCTCTCTTCCAGGATCATGGCAGGAAAAGTGAAATGGGTCACTGACATCGAGAAGTCTGTGCTGATCAATAACTTCGAGAAGAGAGGATGGGTCCAAGTGACCGAGAATGAGGACTGGAACTTTTACTGGTGAGTACAGCCTCTGAGGTGACTCCCTCCTGCCCGGCAGAGAGTGGCCCTGGGAAGGACCGTGTTTCCAGAGCCAGGGCCCGAGCACAGGGTGGGGGTGGGGGGGATGGGGGCAGGCGTTCAGCATCTGGGCGGGGAGGAGAGCCCAGCTCCCACCTCCCCACACGGACTGGCCCCAGTTGGTGCCCAGGACGGGGCGGGTGCCTTGGAGGAGGTTGGTTCTCCTTGGCCTCCCTCTGGTGCCCTGCAGGGCCCGGGAGCTGGGTCATCAGCCCTGGCAGACCACAGTGGAGCAGGATTCCGCTAGCAGAAGAGAAGCCACGTGTAGGCGTTGGCTCCAGTGGCCAGGGTCCTGTAGATGTCCCTCCCTGCTTGTTGAATAGGTCCCATGTCCTCCTCCACCCTCCTTCCTCTTGTTCCTCCTGTGGTGGCCACGGTGGGGGCCTGGTCTGCTCCTCCCTCAGGTTGACCATCATCTCTGAATGGGCCTCCTGACCAGGGGCCGGCCTCCACCCTCTGACAGCGTCACACACCAGAATGYAAACCAGGTCACGCACTCTGCCCTCCCGGTCACCTGCAGCTGCCTAGAGCAGTGCAGTGATTCTCGCAGGAGTGGGCCCGGGTGGGCAGCAGGGGTCTCACCCCACACCTGTCCCCGCCTCAGACTCGCTGGCCCAKTGCTGACCTGAGAGATGGTCCTCCCTCCCTCAGCCACTGTCCTTCTCCCCGCTGCCCCCAGCTCCTCACTGTCCCCCTGCCGTGACCTTGCTCACCCGCGCTGTGCCCCCCCACCCCCGTGCACACGTGCAAACACACCTGGCGAACCTCAGCCCATCGTCCACAGGTGCCCATCCAGACTCTGGAACCCCTCTGTTCACACCTGTTCACACCTCACTCCGCCTCTCTGTGTGTGGCCACCCTCTGTGTGTGGCCGGTGGCCAGAGCTTGGTGTCTCTTCAGATCCGGTTGTTGGAGGTTTCAGAGTCTCTGTGAAGTGGGGGCTTGGGGTGGTCTGGCCTGAGGGGGGCGCTCGTGAGCAAGTCCACACGCTGCCCCTGAGCCCGCCTTTGCCTCTCCGAGGCTCACAGTTTGCCTTATCTGGTGGCAGGGCCGCGGGTGTCCTGGGATTGGTGTCCCCACCTGTGCCCTCTTTACATGGTTCTGAGACCCTTAGAGAGCGAGGATCCTGCCTGGCTGTGCCAGAGTCCCCAGAGGCTGGCAGGGGCCTGGGCACCGAGCGGGCCCGCGGTCAGCTTCTGTACCAACAGTCAGTGAGCGATGACTGGGCATTGCTTCTGACGACAGTGCCCGTTACCTGGTTACCTGCACGACCAGTCACAGCCAGATTTCGTCCAGGAATGTGGAGTGCSGACTGGGGAGCACTCCCGGGGTGCTTTGGCACCTGGGTTCACTCTGCCGGGTAAAGTGCAGAACCGTCTGCCCTGTGGACCCTCAGGTTCCGCCTCTGCAGACTCAACTAACCCTGGGTCAAAAATATTTGGAAAAGAAAATTGCAGCAGTACCAAACATTCACTTTTTCTTCTTGTAATTATTGCCTAAATGATAGAGTATAACTGTGTACACAGCGTTGCTTCGCATGAGCATTGGAAGTGATCTAGAGGTGATTTAAAGTGGGGGGTGCAAAGGCCCTGTGCAAACATAGCACCCTTTTTTCTAGGGGACCTGAGCACCCTCATAAGTCTTGGAACAGCTCCCTGCAGATGCCGAGGGGCAGCTCTGATCCTCCAGAGCCTTGTTYAATAGGTGCCCCGAAAGGAAAGACTGAGTTGGACAGTGACTTGTAACTTTCCGTTCCAAGTGTGTTGCCCTGGGCCACCCAGCGCTCTCTGAATTCACCCGCGGCTCTCACCGGGTCTTGGGTGCTCGAGCGCCTCCTTCTCCATGTGGAATAGAAACATTCCGCTGGGGTCTCCCTACGCTGCCCAGGCTGGCCCCCAACTCCTGCGCTCACGCCAGCCTTCCGCATCAGCGCTGGGCTAGTAGACCACAGGTGTGATGCCACCGCGGGCTTCCAGCTGTTCCTAACACAGGAGGCACAAGAGAGGCCCAGCCAGAGACGCAGGGTGGGAGCTGCAGCCATTGGTTCAACTTTATCTTTTTTAAATTTTTTAGTTGTAGATGAGCACACAGTGTCTATCTATTTTTGTGTGGTGCCTCACACATGCGAGACRAGCACTCTGCCCCTGAGCCCCAGCCCAGCCCTAACTTGACCTTTACTCCTGGGTGCTAACAGCAGGTCACAGTGGAACCACTCCGTTCAACAGCGTGGGAAAGGTCCAGTACTTCAGCTGAGTGGTTATGGCTCAGGCGCTAAACCAACAGTCATAGTGCGGTTTGGAAGCTTCTGTAATGATCAGTAAGACGAGYGTAGTAAGGACCGTCATTGGGGCTGGGAGGACAGCCCGTGTCGTGTCCCTGTGGAAAGCTGCTGGGTGACCTCAGTCTGAGTGCTCAGCCGGGCCCTGCCCTGGTTCCTGACTAAGAGGCCAGTGGAATGGCCCTTGGCCTAAGTCGCTTTGGGTGAAAGGCACCGCAGTGGCCAGGACCAGGGAGCTGCTGGCCGCACACCTGGAGGGGTGCGGGGCCCAGCTGTGATCTTGAAGACTGGCCAGTGAAGGGAACAAGTCGYGCAGGATTTCCTCTGCTGAAGGAGCTGCTCTTAGGGAACCTGCTGTGGATGAGGGGATCTTGCAGGACTGTTGCTGCTGGTAACGACGGAGCAGGGGGAGGTAGAGGACGGCCACGGGAAGAGAACTGTGGTTCCTCATCGTAGTCTTTATGTTCAGCTGATGATATTTTCGACATATTGGATTAAATAAGATGTATTAGGACGGTTTTTTCTCACCTGTGTTTTCTGGGGAGGTAGCAGGGATTGAACTCGGGCACTCAGCCACTGAGCCACGTCCCAGCCCTTTTTGTGTTTTATTTAGAGACAGGGTCTCACTGAGTTGCTTAGCACCTCACTAAGTTGCTGAGGCTGGCTTTGAACTTGCGGTCCTCCTGCCTCAGCCTCCTGAGCYGCAGGGATCACAGGCATGGCCACTGTGCCCAGCTCTTGTAACATTTTTTAAAACTTGCCTGTTAGTTTAGTTGTGCAAGAGACAGAGCCAGGGCCTTGTGCGTGCAGACGACCCCTGAGCTACACCCCCAGCCCCCACCTTACCAGAGGATTTGTGGTTCCACACGTGGCTCATTTCATGTCTGCTGGACCGTGGGGACAGTGCTGGCCGGTGGGGCTTGCCCATCACTGACATCCCAGAAGGAGACCCCAAGCCGCACGTTTCTGCTGACCGTGTACACGCCACGTGGAAGGCAGCCCGGCCAAAAGATCTGCTCACCAGCCCTCGAGGCTGGCTGGCGGTTCCTAGGAGGTCAGGGGCCGGGGACATGTGAATGAGGAGCCTGGGTGAATCCCGCAGGACAAGGACCGATGTCCTCGACAARGGAGTTGCATGGAAGAGAAAGAGAAAGAAGGAACAGAGAGGACAAGGACTAGAAGAGAAGAGCGAGCCCAGGCTGGTGGCCAGGCCGTGTCCCAGTCACTTGGGAGGCTGAGGCAGGAGGACCACAAGTTCAAGGCCAGCATGAGCAACTTAGTGAGGCTTTGTGTCAAAATAAAAAAAAAAAAAGGCGGGGGGCGGGTTGTTGCTCCATGGTGGAGCCTGGCACGTGCAAGGCCTTGGGTTCATCCCCAGCACCACAGGGAGTGGTGATAAAATGTGAAGCATCTCTTTCTGCTATCGCCCCTTCCTCTGTGAGCCTTCCAGGAGTATGATGTGCTAACTCAGGGCCCTCAGATAACCCTGTGATTTCATTTTTTAATTTTTGGTACTGGGGATTGAAACTGGTGGTGCTTAGAGATAGGGTCTCCCTGAGCTGCTTAGGGCTTCACTAAGTTGCTGAGGCTGGTTTTGAACTTGTGATCCTCCTGCCTCAGCCTCCTGAGCTGCGGGGWTTACGGTGTGTGTCACTGTGCCTGACCAACCCCTGTGATTTTGCCTTTAAAGGTCAATGATCTTTCTGAATTGGGGTGCAGATCTGTGTGAGTGAGGTTCCCTAGAGTCTGAAAGGGGTCAACCTGCACTTGTTGCCAATGTTGTCACTGATCCGTGAACATTTATTAGGCTCCTACCTCGGCAGAATCAAAGCAGCTCCTGCCTCACAGTCAGGTCCCGTCCAGTGCCTGGACACTGGGGCACAAGGGGTGGCGGCCAGGGCTCCGCGGGGCTGTGGGGGACTGGCGGCCTTAGCCCTCGGAGCTCTGTTTCAGGATGAGCGTGCAGACCATCCGGAATGTGTTCAGCGTGGAGACCGGGTACCGGCTCTCGGACGACCAGATCGTCAACCACTTCCCCAACCACTACGAGCTCACCCGCAAGGATCTGATGGTGAAGAACATCAAGAGATACCGGAAGGAGCTGGAGAAGGACGGGAGCCCCCTGGCCGAGAAGGACGAGAACGGGAAATACCTCTACCTGGGTGGGCACCTTCCGCTGGCTGCTGGTCGTCAGCAGCTGAGTTTCTCATCGGGAGGGACCCTGAGCTGGGGGTGCTGGCTCAGCTGGGAGAAGGTGTAGGTGCGGGTCTGTGCTCCTCTGTCCCCTCGGTGTCTGGCGGGTGGGTTGGGCCACGGATGGCCGGAGGGTGTGCTCGGTGCCCGTGCCCAGGAGACACCTGCCTGCCTGCTGGGGTGGGCCCCGCTCCTCCAGCCGCAGGAGGACGCTGTGTCCCTGCCCACCTGGTGATGGAGGCGGCTGCGGGATGGTCAACTGTCCCTTCACGTCCCGGGCCGCGGCTTCCTCATCTGCCCAGTGGGGGTGCGAGCTGTAAAGTCGGGACACTCAGGGCCCAGTGAGGGGACTCCAGTGGCCGAGTCCTCGTTGTGTGAGGCCCCGGTGGTGGGGACCGGGTGGGTGGGGGCGGGGGACGACAAGTGCTWGAGGCAGTGGCTTCCCGTTTCGGGCCCGTGGGCTGCCACTCACGGCGCTGGGCTTCCCCTTCCAGACTTCGTGCCAGTCACCTACATGCTGCCCGCGGACTACAACCTGTTCGTGGAGGAGTTCCGGAAGAGCCCGTCCAGCACCTGGATCATGAAGCCTTGYGGCAAAGCCCAGGGCAAGGGCATCTTCCTCATCAACAAGCTCTCGCAGATCAAGAAGTGGTCCCGGGACAGCAAGACGTCCACGTGCGTGCGCGGCGCCCCGTCGCGGGCTGGGTTCTAGTTAGCACTGGCATGCTCAGTCCCTGGGCCGCGAGCGGGCTGACCCTTGCCTGCTTTCCAGCTGCGTGTCACTTGTGGTGTGGTGACCTAGCAGGGCCTGTGGCTGTGATAGTGTCAACCAGACTCTCCCTGGGGTGACTGGTCCCAGGCTGGCGGGAGGCCTGCTGGGGCACAGGAGCCCTGGCTGGCGCCTCAGACCTCRGGTTTGAATCCCACTCTCGCTAGCTGAATGTTTTTTGGTATTTTCTCGTTTGGTTTGGTTTGGTGCTTAGAGTCGAACTCAGGGTGCACCACCGCAGAGCCACATCCCCAGCCCTTTTTATTTTTTATTTTGAGACAAGGTCTCCCTAAGTTGCTGAGGCTGGCCTCAAACTTGGGGTCCTCCCACCTCTGCCTCCTGGGGCATGGGATTGCAGGTGTGCCACCGTGTGTACCTAGTTTAAACTCGGGGCACTAATGACACCACTGCCTTGGGAGTGGGATGAGTCACGGGTGGAGCCTGGGGCAGTGCAGAGAGTGCGTGGAGCCAGAGACTGGCAGGGTTCTCATGTGCTGGTTGTAGGTCAAGTCCAGATTCTTCCTGGGTTGCCGGCTCCTCTCTGCCCTTGGGGTGTCCTCAGTGGCTCTCAAGTGCCCGGGGCCCCTGGAGCAAGGCCTGGTATGATCCTTTCCCAGTGGGGTGATGTCTCACGTATCAAGAGATCCCAGGGAAGTTGCGGGGGGGACTCGTGTGTAGTGCACTTAACTCTGACCGCACCTTTCTGTCCCCAGGCCGGCTCCTCAGGGGCTCCCCRGGGCTGTGCTGCAGTCTTCCCACTGTCTCCCTGAATCCCTGTCACCCCAGTGTCTCCTGATGAACCAGGATCTCTCTCTGGGAGGCAGGGGCTGGTGACCAACTGAATGTACCTTTGCTCTTTGCTGACAAGATTTCAGCCGGGCGCAGTGGCACACCCGTGTTATCCCAGAGGCTCAGAAGGCCAGGGCAGGAGGATCTCAAATTCAAAGCCAGCCTCAGCCATGGCGAGGCTCTAAGCAACTCAGTGAGACCCTGTCTCTAAATACATACAAAATAGGGCTGGGATGTGGCTCAGTGGTCRAGTGCCCCTGAGTTCAATCCCTGGTACCAGGAAAAACAAAAAACAAAGAATTTAGTACTTTCAGAGMAGTTTTGGACTCACTGCTAAGCTGTGCAGAAGACGGAGCTGGGTGGTGGCTCAGGGGTAAAGCACGTGCCTCGCACCTGTGAGGCCCTGGGTTCGGTCCTCAGCACCACATAAATAAATAAAATAAAGGTATTGTGTCAACTACAATGAGACAGTTAAAAAAACCGCTGAACAGAAGATTCAGCTTTCCATCTCCCCCCCCACACACACACAGCCCTGGGTGCTCAGCCGCTCCTGCCCCTTCCCCCAGCCTCTGGCAGCCTCTGGTCTTTGTGCTATCCCCTTGCCTTTTCCCTAGTGCCACTGAGGAGGAATCCTGCCACATCTAGCCTTTCACCTCCGMTTCTGTCGTGAGCAATGCTTTCTCTTCAGTGCATAATAGGCATCTACGTCTTCTCCTGGCTCGATTCTTTCTTTGTCCCACTGATTAATATCCYGTTATCTGCATGGACCACAGATTATTTATCCCTCACTTGCTRAAGGACATCTTGGTTGCTTCCTGGTCTGGGGGAGTTATGAACAAGCTGCCGTAAAGGTCCAGGGCCCAAACACATGTTTGCAGGGACATGTGTTCTCAGCTCCTCTGGGGAGACGCCCAGGGGTCTGATTGGTAGACCTGTGGCAGAGTGTGTTTAGTTTCTTTAGAAAGTTCCTGATGAGCTGAATATGGTGGCACACCTAGCAATTGAGATCCTAGCAATTCAGGAGGCTGATGGAGGAGGATCACAAGGTCAAGGCCAGCCTCAGCAACTCAGCAAGACTCTATCAAAATAAAAAAAAAGGGCGGGAGATGGAGCTCAGTGCTAGAGCACCCTGGGTTCAATCCCCAGTGCCCAAGCACAGCCTCCAAACCGTCTTCCAAAGCGGCTGCCCCACTTTGCACTGCCAGCYGTGAGTCCTGACCTGTTGCTCCGCGTCCTGGTGGGCGCTTGGTGTGACCCCTCACAGGTGGTTTAACGTGCCCTCCTGAGGTGGAGCGTCTCTTCCTGTGCGTAGTCGCCACCAAGTGCCTGTCTTTGCTGAGAGACCTTTAAGGTCTTGGTGCATCTCTAAATGTTGATATTATTGTTGGGTTTTAGCATTCTTTGTATTTGGGGATAACCGTCCTTTGTCAGATATGTCTTTTGAGCATATTTCCTCCCAGTTTGTGCTTGTCTTTATATTTTCTTTTTTGTTAATATTTATTTTTTAACTGTAGTTGGACACAGTATCTTTAGTTTATGCATTTATTTTTATGTGGTGCTGAGGATCGAACCCAGGGCCTCACACGTGCTAGGCGAGTGCTCTACCGCTGAGCCACAACCCCAGCCCATCTTTATATTTTCTTGATGGTGTATTTTACAGAAATTTTGTTTTCCAGGACTGGGGATTAAACTCGGGGCTTTAGCTAAACAAATGCTTTACCACTGAGCTGTTTCTAGCCCAGAAATTTCTAAGTCTAATGAGGCTGGGTCCATCAGTTCACTCTTCGATGGGTCGTGCCAATACCGTCTTTTACCTTCTCGGTGCGCAGGTTCGTGTCTCAGTCCACCAAGGAGGCCTATGTGATCTCGCTGTACATCAGCAACCCCTTGCTCATCGGCGGGAGGAAGTTTGACCTGCGCCTGTACGTTCTGGTGTCCACGTACCGCCCGCTGCGCTGTTACATGTAAGAGCCGGGCCTTGCCTCTTGCTGGTGTGCATCTTAGCCTGACTCGGCCTCCTGCTTATCACCACGGTGAGGCGAGGGATTTAGTAAAACAGTGGGTGCTCAGGTGGGTGCTGGGAAAATAAGAGCCACTGGCCTCGATGCCACTGTGAGTCCCACAAACAAGAGGGCAGCTCCTTTAAACGTTAAAGCAAAAGCCATTCCTTTTAGTCCTCAGAGTCTGAGTCAGTTGAACTCCCCCCAGGTACAAGCTGGGGTTTTGCCGGTTTTGCACCGTGAAGTATACCCCGAGCACCAGCGAGCTGGACAACATGTTTGTCCACCTCACCAACGTGGCCATCCAGAAGCACGGGGTGAGTGTCCTTCTGCTCCTGCTGCATGGGCTGCTTTCCTGTGTCCGCAGGAGAGGACAGGTGGCCCGGGGTGGTGTGGAGGGTGCATCCTGGCCCGAGGCCCTGGCGCCAGGGGATGGGGGCCAAGTGCTTGCTTGGGGGAAGACAAGAGGGGGAGGCTCTGGGAGAGAGGAGGCCACAGGTGCAGGTCCCCCTTTCTAGTTCTGTGACCTTGGACAAGCACGCTCAACCTTAARCCTTACTTAGTTTGTCCAACAATAAAAGGAAATAATAGTATTAAGAGGCTCCTTCTGCTACGATGAGGTCGTCGCGTCTCGTAGATCTGTCTGACGTTGGAAAATAGGTTAGAAAATGCATCAAAATAAGGAGAGGAAGCCGGACGCGGTGGCACTCGCCTGTCATCCCAGCAGATCAGGAGGCTGAGGCAGGAGGATCGCAAGTTCAAAGCCAGCCTCAGCAAGGGCGAGGCACTAAGCAACTCAGTGAGACTCTAAATAAAATACAAAATAGAGATGGGGATGTGGCTCAGTGGTCGAGTGCCCTGGGTTCAGTCCCTGATACAAAAAATAAAAAGTAAAATAAGGGGAGGAGGGGTTGGGGTGGTGACTCAGTGGTAGAGCACTCGCCTGGAGGCACTGGGTTCGATCCTTAGCACCACATAAAAATAAAATAAAGGTATTGTGTCCACCTACAACTTAAAAATTTTTTTACATATTTCTTAAAAATAAGGGAGGAGTGGGGAGTGAAATCAAACTCCACGCCTGCATGATCTTGTCAAAATGCATCCTGTGTATAACTGTGTATAATGTGGCCCTAATAAAAAGCCAGTCCCTAATAAAAATCCCAGTGACTCAGAGGGCTAAGGAGGAGGCTTGCGAGTTAGAGGCCAGTTTTAGCAATACAACAAGATCCCAGCAACTTAGCGAGATCCCCTCTCAAAATTAAAGTAATAATAGAAAGGGCTGTAGCTGTAGCTCAGGGGTAAGGCACCCCGGGTTCAATCCCCAGTGCCACACACAAAAAAAGCCACACTCCACCTGGCCCGCTGAGCATCATGGCTCTGCGCCTCCTGTGAGGCTGGTGGGGTCGGTTCACAGTTCTCAACCTCTTGCTTTGAAAATGAAATCCCAGACTCATTACCTCCTGATGCCTTTGTGTCACCAGTGTAAGAGGGAAGCCCCTGGCTGTGGGACGAGGGTCAGCCACGGGTCCCCAAAGCCAGTCCTAGGGAGGAGCCGTGGTGAGGTCAGGGAGGGAGCTTTGTTGTGGGTGTGGCTACGCCAGGAAGAACAGAGAGGTCTTGCGCCTGGGCTCTGTCTCCAGGGGCTGGTCGAGGGCAAGGGGAGCTAGGCTTGGGGTCTGCAGAGCTGGCACAGCAGGCCGTCCTGCTCCATCGGCTCAGGATCCACCTAAGAGTTTTGTTGGCACCGACAAGGTCACTGGTGCTTGGGGGTGGGGCTTCTAGTCCTCCTCATGAGGTGTTTATGGGTCAGACCTGCGTCCCTGGAATCCAGGTGACCACAGGAGAGATGACTCAGGGGGCTCAGAGGGGAAAGAAAGTCCCCATGGCCAGGCGGAGCCGGGGGCACAGTGGGGTCAGCTAGTCAAATGCCAGTGGTATGGAGAGAACGGGTCGGCAGGGATGGGGGGACAGGAGGAGTGCTGAGGAACCCTGGGGCCTGCTCCACCCCAGCCCAGGATGAAAGCTTGGGCACCTGGCAGCCGCTCTGAGTCCACCCCCCTGCTCATGCATCGAGGCCACATTGGTGACATCGCAGGCTTGTTAGAGAATCACATGTGCGGAGTTTTTTCTTTCTTTTTTCTTTTTTTAGTTGTAGATAGACACGATGCCTTTATTTTTATTTATWTTTATGTGGTGCTAAGGATGGAACCCAGGGCCTTATGGTGTGAGGCAGGTGCTCTGCCACTGAGCTACACCCCCAGCCCTGCTAACTTGTTTGTTTTTTTATTTTGAGACAGGGCCTTGCTAAGKGATGTTGGCCCTGAATTTGCAGTCCTCCTGCCTCGGCCTCCCACGTCACTAGGATCACAGGCATGTGCCGTGCGCCCGGCCACGCATGGTGTTTTTGAGTGTAGGGCCTAGCACACATGTGTCTTGGCCTGGCTTTTCCAGGTGAAAGACTGAGGCAGAGATCTGCGGGCAGGAGGTGTGGGGCTCATCCTCAGGAGCAGCACTGTGAAGCAGGGAGGTGGGCAAGGCCAGGACACTGCGAGGGGAGCCGATGCAGCTGCAGCAGAGGCGCCAGCTGGCACCAGGTGGCGCTGTGGAGCTGGGTGCCCACCTAACTGTGCAGGAGCAGGGAGAGGGCCCACGCTGGCATCCACCAGGCCCTGCCAGGCATGACCTTGGATGAGGCAGCTTCCTGGAGGGTGTCTGCTGCGGCAGGAGTGCCCTGGTCTTGAAGGGGGCCTGGGTGGCCCTCCACAACATGGGCTGTGAGGTCGGTTATGAGAATACTGTGGCGCTGGGCTTTAGGAGGCTCGGAGCTCTGCCAGGCAGGGAACCCATCTGCCCACACCAGAAGGCACTCAGATGACCTTGGAGGGATGAGAGAGCAGGGGGCTGGGTTCCTCAGGTACATTGCTGGAAGGTGCCCTGTCCCCGTTTTCTGTCACTAGGAGGACTACAACCACATCCACGGAGGCAAGTGGACCGTGAGCAACCTGCGGCTGTACCTGGAGAGCACCCGCGGCAAAGAGGTGACCAGCAAGCTGTTTGACGAGATCCACTGGATCATTGTGCAGTCCCTGAAGGCTGTGGCGGTGAGTGCCAGGTTCAGGGGCCAGGTGGGCACCGGGGTGAAGGCCCTCAGGAGCTGGCCGTGCTCACCACCAGGCTGCTCTGGTTGTTTTGCTAAAAATACCCCCGTGTTCCCGTCCTCACTGTCTGCGAGTCAGCCAGAGGCCCCCTCAGGGCRTCGCTGCTCAGTGAGCTGGGTCCAGCTTCCCACGTGTGGCCACAGGCCCTGCATCCTCTGCGGCAGCCCAGGCGCCCCGACACCATCATCGGCTCTGCCTGTGCCCACTGGCTCCGGGTGAATGTTTCTGTGGGAAGCGAGGGATGGAGGTGGACCCTCCTGTCTGGCTCCAGTCTCCGCTGCTCCATGAACATTGASAGCTGACCTGCTCCTCCTCCGCTCTTCGGTTTGCTGCTTGTGTGGCTCTGAAGCCGGCGTGCACCTGCCCTGAGGGGGGAGAGGAAGCGTGCTTAGAGCCCCTCGTGCCGGCCCTCACGTTCGGGCCTTCACAGATGGTATCTCTGAGGTGTCTGATCACCCCGACTTGACGCACAAGAAAATGGGGGCTCGAGCCCTAGAGCTAGGAAGCGGAGGGCCTGGCTTTGGCTCAAGGCCCGGCAGTCCTCCACCTCACCAGTGAGGGTCGGGAGGCACCAGCCCACTGCCGAGGCCCTCACCGGAGACTGGGTCCCTCCACCTGGTCTCATGGTCTTGCTGCTGAGCTGGCCTCTGACGGGCCCTCCCCCACTCAGGTGTGGGACCAAGGACATGTAGCCATGGAATGTTGTTGGAGGGTGCCGGCCACATCCTAGTCTTTTTTTTTTTTTTTTTTTAAGAGAGAGAGAGAGAGGAGAGAGAGAGAGAGAGAATTTTTAATATTTATTTTTTAGTTCTCGGCGGACACAACATCTTTGTTGGTCTGTGGTGCTGAGGATCGAACCCGGGCCGCACGCATGCCAGGCGAGCGCGCCACCGCTTGAGCCACATCCCCAGCCCCTCACATCCTAGTCTTTTAAGAAAGGTACTCTATAAATCTTCAGAAGTGGGGCTGGGGTTGTGGCTCGCATATTCTGTCCACCTACAACTAAAAAACATATTAAAGAAAAGTCTTCAGAAGCTTAAGAAATCAAGTTGAAGAGCCAAAGAACCACAGCCAGACTGCAGCACGGGGCCCGCAGACCGAGGGCCTGGGGAGGAGGCCTGCCKCGAGCGCCGGTGTGTGAAGTCGCTGTGCTCAGAGGCTTGAGCTGAGCGTGGGGCGCATCTGCAACCCTCCATTGGAGACCCYGGTGGAGACCTTGGTGGAGACCTCCATGGAGACCAGGGAGACCTCCTGGAGTGTGGGCCGCCCCCTCCTGCCTGTGCGGCTGGAAAGGCATGTCACAGAGGTCACCTGAAGAAGGCCTGAGACAGGAAAAGGTGACCCGGGGCCTTTCCAGGTCTAGAGTGATGTACTTCCTGCTCTCCCAGGAGCTCTGAGCRCTGTGCGGTTGATCGCGGGCTTCATCATTGGTTTGTGTTGACAATTCGGAGGAGAAAGACCCAGGAGCTGGGTCATTGCCGGCACTCGTGTTGGGAACCCAGTTCCACACCTTCCTGCTGCGTTGACAGAAGCCTGTCCCTCTGGCTCGGTGGCAGGTCGTGAGGGGGTGCCAGCTCAGCTGTGCTTTAAGCCTCGTACCTGCCTGTTCTGAGTCTGAGACTTACATAGTGAGCTGAGCCAGACACCAGTGTCACGGGGCTTGTGAACAGTGCCCCGAGGTCAGCTTACTGACCCAGAGGAGTTAGGTGCTATTATTTATTTTTAATATGTATTTTTCAATTGTAGTTGGATACTGTACCTTTATTTTATTTATTTATCTTTTTACGTGGTGCTGAGGATCGAACCCAGGACCTCGCACATGCTAGGTGAGTGCTCTACCGTTGAGCCACAACCCCAGCCAAGGTGCCATTATTTGTCTATTTATTTTCCCCTGGTGCCAGCAACTGAACTCAGGGTGGTTCTACCACTGAGCCACACCCCGGCCTTTTTTTGTTTTTGGTTTGGGGACATGGTCTTGCTGAGTTGCTGAGGCTGGCCTTGGCTTTAGGGTCCTCCCGCCTTAGCTCTGAGTGGCTGGGATCACAGGAATAATCCGGGGTGCGTCCTGGGCAAGCCGCGCTCTCAGTTGCTTACAGCCACTGCAGACCCCTCTGGAGTGGTGGGGCTTTGGGGAAAGCTGGCTCATTGACCAAGAAAGACTGCGATGTCAGGCTTTCAGTGGTGACGCGATTCCACCAGGAAGCCCCCCACTGCCGCCCGGCTTCCCTCCCTCAGTGAATGAGGAGGGGTCCCAGGCTGGGTCCCCTGAGACTTTCCACTGAAATCAAGGGTTTTGCTTAAGCAGAGCCACTTGCCACCAGGGATGAAAAGGCCTCACCTGCCTGTCTCTGGGGTTCACTGGTGGGGTGCACGAGAACCCCGACCCTGGGCCACTCCCAGTGGGTGGTGTCCGGGGGAGGACCCAGGAATTTGCACAGTGAGCAGGGAGCCGGGTTGGTTGGTTTTGTTTGTACTTTAATCACTGAGCACCCCCCCCCCTTTTAAGTGTCTTAAGGCCTTGCTAAGTTGCTGCTTCTGGTCTTGAATTTGTGATCCTCCTGCCTCAGCCTCCCAATTTGCTGGGATTCCAGGCGTGCGCCACGCCCAGCTGGGTTGTTTCTAACATTCTTGGAGTAGTTTAGGTGAGGGATGTGAAGTGGAATGGGACTGATTGTCACAAGGACCCTGAGAAACTGTAAGTGAGTGGACTGACTCGTCACTGGAAGCAGAGCTTCGTAGTGGGACACTCAGGTGGCASAGGGCTGGGAGGAAGTGGAAGTCTCTGGTGGCCAGTGTGTGTCTGTGCAGGCTGCGTGGGCCTTCTCCCCAGTGCCCAGGCTGGACTTGTGTGGCTCAGGACAGTCTCACACTGGCGGACATTCAGGGCTGACGTGGGGAGCCTCTGGCCAGCAGGATGTGGAGACAGTTATTGCTTCCCTGGTCCCTGTTGGGTGGAGGCAGGTTCCATCTCTAAGCCCTGGGAACAAAGGGAGGAACCTGGTCACAGGAAGCCAGGAGTGTGGGAGGCCTGAGGTGTGACACCAGCTGGGTGACTGCTGCCTCTTCCCCGCAGCCGGTGATGAACAATGACAAGCACTGCTTCGAGTGCTACGGCTACGACATCATCATCGAYGACAAGCTGAAGCCCTGGCTGATCGAGGTAACTGCGGGGGGATTGGGACGCCTGCACTGGGCTCGCCTCTGCAGCCCGCGCTCTGCGGGTTCTTGGCCACGTTTCGCTCAGCGTGTCTCCTCACCAGGCTCCTGTGGAGGTGGAGCTCGGGCCCAGTGGCCCTTCAGGCCAGGAAGCCCTGGGTCCTCCCGAGTCGTAGGGCGGGGCTGAGGGTTAGGAAAGTCAGAGAGCCCCCCAGCGGCTGCTGGAAGAGCCCAGATTCCTGCGCACAGGCTGGCTGTGTTCYGGGGTTTTCCAGGGACCTCACTTGCTCTGCTGCCAAAGCTCTGTGTGTTGGGTGGGGGTGGGGGGTAGGTGTATAAYGTGTGCTTTTTTCCTGCATCTTAAACGGAGTATCTTGAATGGGAGCCAAGCTTTCCTTGATGAGCTAGGATCCTAAATGTAGCCATTTTTTTCTGTTTCTTATGTATGTGTGGCACTGGGATTTGAACCCAGGGGTGCTCTACCACTGAGCCACACCCCCAGTCCTTTTTAATTTCTTTTTCTTTTTTCTTTTTTTTTTTTT